ATGGAAAGGTGGTTCAGTATGATGCACCATGCTCCATATTGCTGGTGCTAAGCATATTTGCAAAGACAAGAAAAATCAGAAAATAGGCCAGATCATGAAGGGTCTCAAAAACAGTACTGAGGAATTTGGACTTTCATCCTGAAATTGTAAGACATTTAAGGATTGTCATTAGAAGAGTGTTATTGATGGGTTTGATATTGACTGGCTCAGAGGGAAAATAAATCATAGCTCATTGACCATGGCAAGATTTCTGACCCTTACTAGATACCCTGCAGGGGACTAACCCTGGTATTCCCTGCTTACCTCTGAGTAAAAGTCTATCCCTCCCCCCCCCTTTTTTTCGAGAGGTTTTTGCTATAGGGCGCGTACGCTCGCCAGACAGACAGAGAGAGACAGAGAGATAGAAAGCGAGGAACACCCCCCCTCCTCCGCAGAGGGGATGGCCACGCCGCAATCCCTTCTCCTCCATTCTCCTCTCAGGATCTTGGGCACGCACACACACACGCCTGGCATGAGTTTAAGCCACCGGGTTTGAGACTTGAACTGCAGTCGACTACGTGGGAGTCCAACGATATAGCCATTACACCAACTGCTGGTCCCATATCCCTCTCTTTTAATAATATAAAGGGACTTGAAAAAGTTGTGGAAAAATTAAACCCTGTGGTCTAATGGTTAAGGAAACCAGAACCCCATATGGCTGTTGGTAAGGTTGGAATCTGTGTCTCATGGCTTGAAAAACACCATGCGTGTGCATGCTCAAAATCTTGGGAACCAGCAGTTGGCGTAATGGCTATGTCGCTGGACTCCCACGTAGTCGACCGCGGTTCGTGTCCCGGACCCAGTGGCTTAAAACTCACGCCGGGCGCGTGTGCGTGCGTGCCCAAGATCCCGAGAGGAGAATGGAGGAGAAGGGATTGCGGCGTGACCATCCCCCCTGGGGGGTGATTTCTCGCTTTCTGTCTCTATGTCTCTGTCTGTCTGTCTGGCGAGCGCACGCGCCCTACAGTGAAAATCTCTCCAAAAAAAAAAAAATCTTAACAGGATGGAGAAATGGATGAGCGATGGCAGCATGGCTGCACCTCATTAGAAGGCACTTTCTCCCTCACTCTCTCTGTTTCTCTCTGGTGAGGGCATGAGTCCTCTGGCAAATAAAAAAGAAAAGATTCCTGGAATTTGTGCTTGAGTAGATGGCTGAATGATATGGGACCATCTTGTAAGATAGAAATCCACTAAATAAATAAATAAGTACTTATTGATACTTGAGTCGAAGGTCCATGATTAGATATGCTTTACTGCTCTAGACACTGAGAATGTAAAGTGAGGGGGAGAGGGGAAGGAAGAAAAGATGAAAAAAAACATAAATACATCAGTACAAACCTATGTCCTTGGTTCTCTGGAAGATCCATAAGACAATGATTATACAAGACTTCAGGAAGTTGGCATTTTAAGCAAGGAGTGGTTCTTCTGAGAAGCACGTGAGATGAGTTTCTGGGAATTCCAACCCAGTTACTATTAGCAGGAAATGGTGTGGTATCCTGGAAAGAGCCTGGGCTCTGCTGCCACAAACTGACATGGCATTTCTAACCCTGCGATTTACTAGCTATCCTGCCTAGAAGCCTGCTGTTTCTTCACCTGGAATGATCCCAACAGCATAGGTAGCTCTACCATAATTACTTTATCTTCAAGCCAATATTGTTATTTCTCTGAATTCCAGGATGATTCTGGGATGTAGAATGTCATCAAGTCCTGACACGTCTTCAGGAACTAATTTTCTAAATGGCTAGGCTCCTCTTCCCATTGCCCAGAATACTTTCTACCCTCTTCCCTGCTCATACTTTGTCCACTTGGAAACTTTATGTATACTTTATGATATATTTTATATTTTCTGATGCTATATGAGAAGGCTTCAAAAAGTTCACAGAAAATGTGTATTATGAGAAAACTGAATAGATTTCAATTTTTTTTCACCAAAGTAAATTTGTATTTTAATTCCATTTTTCAAAAAGCAAAATTAAACAAGACAAGAAAACCTCAAGACAAATCCTTCAGACAGAACTGTACCAGTCCCATCCTGACCACTATGCAAGAAAAACTGACCAAAAAGGGCTCCTAAAGGGGGCAAGTGTGGGGAAAACAAACAAACAAAAAAAAAAACAAACAAAAAAAAACATGCTCAAGCGCCAGAAAAACTACTACAACATAGCAGTGTGACTATTTTGTTGTTGTTGTTGTTAAGGTTTTTGCCATAGGGTGTGTGTGCTCACCAGAGACAAAGACCGTGAGAGGGAAAGTGAGAAATTACCCCCAGGGAGGATGGCCATGTTGCAGTCCTTTCTCCTTCATTCTCCTCTGGGGATTTTGGACACACACACACACACACACACACACACACACACACACACACGTGTCTAATGTGCTTTTGAACTGCAGTTGGCCATGTGGGAGTCCACCACTTTAACTATCATGCCACCTGCTGGCCCCAACACAGGGATATAACTTTAACAGCTGAACACATGGTCCTGAGTGTTCTAAGGACAGAATGACTGAATTTACCTGAGAGAATCAGAGAATGCTCTACAGAACAGGGTACATTTAATTGCCTAGGGATTGGAGCTTTCTGTTTGGTTGTTTATACTTCAATGTTAATTTGCAATTTTAAATGTCTCTGTAACCTGGTGTAGTACATGGCAGAATGGGTGCTCATAAAACATTTGCTGAACAAATGAGTCAATGTCAGTATATTCAAAAAGAAAATGCTAGCTCCATCTTTGTATGTGCATGGCTATTTAACTAGTCTTGAATGAATTATGAGACACTTCAATGAGTCAGAAGAATGAGAGGTTCAGATATGGGTCAGAAGGAACAATTATTAAATGAACTGATATTTAGTGATGCTCATCAAGTACTATTTTTCTAATTATATGATTGCATTGGGGACAGTCTCTAGAAATACTGTATTAGTTATTTCTCAAGGAATTTCCTCAATCTCAAAAAAATGACATCTTTATTATTAGACTATTAGTAGTAGTTACATTATTATACATACTATATACAACTATTATATATTGTATCACAATACCTGTAGTAAATTATGTTATTCATTGAATAACATTTACTTAATGCCTCAGATAGTCTAGATGCCTTGCTAGGAGCTTTATATACCCTAGATTGTAGTGGCAAAGAAAATAAACTTGGAAGCTGACATGTTTTGTTCTAATCTAGGTTCCACTAATCCTTTTCTATGTGACTCTGGGCAATTGCCTTAACCTCTAAGGGATTTATTAGGTTGTGAGAAAAGTCATGACATATTTTTCTGTTTTTCTATGCAAAAATGCATCACGGCTTTTCTGACAACCTAATTAGATATACCAATTTACTTAAACATTCTTGTAATTTATTGTTTATACTATTTTATTACAAATACTAAAAATATATTCACAAATTAAATCTTGTCTATATCTCTGATTATTTATTCATTCCCTTAGGATAGATTCCTAGGAATAAAATTATATCAAAAGTTATGTCCATGTAGGGAACCAGCAGTTAGCGTAATGGCTATGTCGCTGGACTCCCACGTGGTCGGCCGCGGTTCGCGTCCCGGACCCGGTGGCTTAGAACTCACGCCGGGCGCCTGTGCATGCATGCCCAAGATCCCGAGAGGAGAATGGAGGAGAAAGGATTGTGGTGTGACCATCCCCCCTGGGGGGTGATTTCTTGCTTTCTATCTCTCTGTCTTTCTCTGTCTGTCTGGCGAGCGCACGCACCCTATAGCTAAAACCTCTCCCCCCCCAAAAAAAAAAGTTATGTCCATGTAAAGGTCCTTAACACATATAGTGAAATTGTTTTCCAGACCAGTTTGTTCCAATTTACAACCTAGCTCTCAGCAGTGTGCCAGCATGGGTTGCTACCATTAATCTTTAATGGGTAAAAAAATGTAAATCTTTCACTAATTAAACTTGTTTCTTTGATTGTTAATGGTGAGGTTAAATATTTTTTCTAAACATTTCTTTGACTGGTCTACGATTATCATAGACATGTCCATTTATTTACCTGTTCTGCTTATACCTCAGCCACAGTGGCACAGTTTATAGTGTACTGAATCGCAGTGCTGGAAGCCACATGGCCGAACTTGAGTTTTGATCTCCAGCCTAGTTGGCGAGTTTTACTGGGTAGGAGCATGACCTATATCCTGACAAACTGCATGTGTGACTTGTCTATCTCTCCTGCATGCACACAAATGTACTCTTTTTCATGAATAAAAATAAAACTTAAAAAAGTTCTATCTTTATATTATTTTCAGCTATCTGGATAAGGGGTGGACAGCTAATCCAAGTCAAATCAATTCATAGTTTGCCAACTGGAATCTTATGGATTTGAGCTAAGAGATCAATAAACCAGACATGCAGAAAAAGATGTTGCACGGGCCCAGAAAAATGCTAGCAGTCTCTGTTCTTGCCTTTCCAGGATTGTTCCCTGTGGAACTTTTCTTCGATGACATTTTATCTTCACAATCAGATAGCTAGAGTGACATTTGTTTCTAAGAATGAAATCAATCTGAAGAGAGTGCCATTTACCCATTTGGGGTTCTAGTATCTAAAAAA